TATGGGAAGATCCCCCTGAGTAAGATAGTAAAGTGTAAATATGGGAAAACAACTTCATGAATTCAATTGATTGAATGAACACAATTTTTATGAGTTTTTATCAATGACTTCATGAGAAATCGGAAAGCCGTGTTCGAATTCCAATTGGGTTCATTACATTCATTTCACCTAAATACCCTTGGGAACAGGTATGAATCCATCTTTTCTCCCCTCCCACCAACTATGGGTTAAATAGCAGGACAGACTTTGTCCTATAGCCTTGGTTGACAACCAGTCTGTCACAGAAAGAAACGACAGCCTAGCGCGGGAAAAACCTTCTACCTAGTCAATCATGAATCGAAAGAGACATGATCGCCCAAGTGTGTATCACGTATGATACTTACCTGACTGACCAAGGACTTCACTAAATTTTCTGCTTTTTGTACTTATATATCCCTAATTAAAATAACGCCTGAAGTGTTAAAAATGTTTCTATAGTAATGACTTTTTCAAACTATCAACACAATACAAACTAATTCCAAGAAGTTCGGAATTAGCATACCAGTTTCCTAACAGGCCCATTGGTCACTGATATATAAAATTCATATATACATGTATATACACACGCAGATGTGTACAACTGTCAATGGACGAATGTATTTTACAAATTGCCTTACTTGTATTCTTGATTCTGGAAGTTTTATTCTCACTGCCAATCTTTCTCTCATGAAAATATCTGGGTAATGCGTTTTTCGGAAGGCTCGTTCTAATTCTTGCAATTGCCGGGACGAAAATGTAGTTCGGTTTCGTTTCACTTTTTCAACTGACCTTGGGTCTCGTTCTACACCTTCCATTGACATGTCGATGCTGCTGATGTTTTCACAAGAACTGTCAGCGGCTGTAAGATAAAAAAAAAATCAAATTAAGTAGAAGTACAGAATATCATTAGTTAGGTTACTCGCTGTTTCCCTCTGCCTTTCTTGTCTTCAGTATGCCTCGTGAGTGTCAACTTCTCCATGCTCACATTCGTCCGAGAAATTTCAACTGTTTCTGAGTGGCTGAACAGTAGGGGGGGGGGTGTAGTAAAAAAACAAACATTCCTAAGAGCTAAAAATAATAGGAAGTTGTGAAGAGCCATGATCATGCAAGTCCTGGAGTGAAACGGCACAAGAAGACAGTTTTTTTTTACGTTTCAATAAATGTAACTTTCAAATAAAAATTCTTAGGATAATCATTTTTTTGTAATTCAAGAAGCGAATAGAGTTTATAGCGGGCTGGTGTAAGTGTTGAAAGATAAACACGTGTGTTTCCTGAAATGCCCACAACAAACATGGCAGACTCGAGATGTGAATCCACATAAAAGAAATGTAAAGAAACAACAAGAAGCGAATATATATATATATTCGCTTCTTGTTTTTTCTATATATATTCTTATTTGTTTATACATATATATATATATATATATATATATATATATATATATATATATATATATATATACACACACACAAACAAATGATAATGTATTAACAACAAAAGGTTACAAGTGATAAAGACAATATGTGCAACAAATGAATGTGGAAACTTTTTGGTCCAAAGTATGTAAAATGAGTGGATGTGCGTACACACGTGTGTGTGTGTGTGTGTGTGTGTGTGTGTGTGTGTGTGTGTGTGTGTGTGTGTGTGTGTGTGTGTGTGTGTGTGAATTTCAACGTAAAAGTCAGAAGAGAGTAATAAAAAATTATCGCAGGGTATTTATAGTGTCGGGGAGCGTCCTCTAGTAGCAGTTTCGAACATTTGGAGTATAGTACATTAGCAAGAAAGGTATACATTTTAATTTTTTTTTTTTTAAGCAAGTGAGATAATTCACCAATAGTCATATTGGTGGATGCGACAAGTTTACCTTACGGAATCGACGACCCGAGATCAAATTCCAGATATTTTGTGTGTTGATTCCAATCCTAGGGGAATGACTACAAAAACATCCCCCAACTAAATTTAAGATCTTCTGGATCTCATCTGCCATATTTTTTGCATTCTTCTCTTGAAGTCAAAACGCTGCGGTCATTTGTCTGTATCCCTTATGTGTATTCACAGTTTGTGAACATTTTACCTCATTACTGTTGGTTTTTATTATTTTGTATTGCATATATATTGGCTTCTTAGTATTATTTTTCCATGTTCTTTTCTTTCTATGGTTATTGTTTATTAGAAATGTTCTAAATTATGTTTGTTGAGCAATTCTGCCATTACATTTAACCATGACCAATTACTCTACATTTTACTTTTTCTTATGAATCCTTTCCATAATCAATGGACACTCTTACGTTTATCTTAAGTCGGTAAGTCAGCTCAGGTTATAGTAGCGTGGGGCTTAGTGTTTTAAATAAAAAGGTGAATTACCCACGCCAATAAGGTTAATGGAGGATGATAATAACGAGGAAACACACGGGTAATTTTAACGAAACAAGATAAGGAATTTCTTCACAAATTTACACGCTTAAAATAGTGTCAGTAGCTGGTTTCAGGAAAATAAATCAGAATTTATAAAGTCCGTAGATTTAACTTATTTTCATGAAATGTTCATACAACAGATTAAATGATTTGACACAAAACAATATTAAAAATGTATAAGATAAACGTAAGAGAGTCCGTTGATTATGGAATGGATATATGGTTTGCATACATTCAAAAGTAGATAAAAAGAGGTTCGTTTGAAATACTTAGATTTCCTGGATTGTTTGGGGGAAAAAGGCCGATAATATAATTGATGAGTAATGTTATACTGGCGAGTACTTCAACACTGGTCGCTCGGAACTGATTTTATATAAAAAAAGAATTCTTTTTAATTTTTCTCCTGATTTTATATGAAAAAGAATTCTTTTTTTATATAAAAAAAACAATTTTTTTTATATATAATGAGAATAATTAAATTAATTAAAGAGTGTCTAAAGCCATGTGAAAGGTTTCTGAAACATTTTTAATATTGTTTTTGTGATTCATTCTTCTTGGATCACCAGCCTATTTCTGTGAAGACAAGGTTTTCAAAAACAATTTCACATATGCTCCCGAATTACTTTCCTTCTTCTTTTCGGCTCACTGATTAATTTCTGTGAAAAGCAAGGTTTTCATTGGTTGAAAAATAACCTCACATAGGCACACGAATTTCTTTCTATCTTATTCCTCAGTCCTTCGAATTTGGAGAGAATGGGTGAAGAGAATTTCGCACTCACTACGAGGTCATTAATCTCTCTTGCTTGTACCAATTTGTTATTTGGTGAGATTAAGATGGACACCGCCGAATCAAGTTCTATATTTTATGTTGTTTCTTTATGGCTATACAAAAGCATTATTGTAAATATATTCAATACAAAAGTATTGTCTTATAAATCCATTATAAAGATTTGTTACTGAAAAACAAAACGGAACAACACGAAACAAGTTGAAACAAAGACAGAAATAAATCACCAAATATACTTTTCAATTCTTACTTTTGTAAAATATAAAAAAAAATGAAATTACTAACTTATAGAAGTTTAACCATTTCGTGTTCAATGTATTTTATTTGTGCCCACACTGGTGTAATTGAATAGAGAGTTATTCCCCTTGCATTAAATGACTTAGTTTAGAAAGTTCGAGATTGAAGCTACACTTAAAATATAATTTTAACTAAGCCTGATCCCCTGTCCATATCTCTGAGATGAGGTATTATGATGATCTGAATTATTTACATTATTCAGACTGTTATCCTCATCTTCATTCCCATATTCACAACGTTTCGGCCATTTCATGCCTCGGCTTTCTTCAGGTGACAGGAATTTCGAACCGAAGCTTTTATTTCGTCCTCCGGGGTAGATTGTTCTAGTTCCACGTGCCATGCCTCTTACGGATGTCTCAGTTATTTCCCTTTAACTCAACTCTCCAAGTTTGGTTCACTACTGCTGTGGCCTGGTCTTGAATTCACAACTCTTTTCGTCTAGTTACTGGATCTAACCAACGTCTTTATCCGCTGGCCCATGTGTCCTTGAGGACGCGTAGCCCGATCACGCTTCGCAAATTGTCAAGATTGAGCCTTATTTTCTGCTTACTTTATGCTTAAAACATGCTAAGAAAAAGTATTCATTTGAGAACTGAACTTCTTTAATTTTTTCACTTAAATGCAAGTAAGTGATTAAAGTAAAGGTAAACGATAAGGAAGGACAAACCATCAAGTGTAAGAGGACAGAATATATGGTAGTCAGGAAAAGCAACAATCCAAAATGTAAACTACGAATTGATGAAACCAAAATCAAGTAAATACGAAAGTTTAACATATTTAGGAGCTGTTTTAAATAGAGGAGAGAAAATGTAACGCCGAAATCCGAAGGTGCATTGGAAAGATGCTTTTCAAAAGCTAAACAGTATATTAAGGGACATGAAAAATGTCGTTAGAAACAAAGAAAAGAGTGTTGGCCTGTTCTATAATATCAGTTCTATACGGCAGGGAATGCTGGTAAATTTTCTCACAGATGAAGAAAAAACTTGAAACAGAGGATGACGATCCATATAGACGATTGCGTTTAAGTATTAAACAGACTGTCGCCCCTGGACGATGACCTTAATGTCCCCTGTTACATATAAGCAAAATCTTATAACAACCATAGTAACATCTGTAGCCTTTGTCAATAAGAAAAATAGCTATAACATTTCCAGACCCCCCAAAAAAACTTTGACCGAGAGATCGGAAGTTATGACACGTTGTATACATACTAAAAAGTTCCTTTTGAGTTTGTATGAAGTAGGATGAAAAGAATGTATGTATATTTAATTTAATCCCCTACCAATACATTTCCAATACACTCCTACTCCTTCACCTCCTCACCTTCTACCATACCTCACGTCGTGTGCTTATTCATTTATTGAAAAATATAGCGCTCATATTTTTTTGAATAAAGCGTTAGGAAATCAATTGACCGAAATCGCCTGAAGATACCGAATGTTTGAAAGCAAGATGGCGGAATCGGCTGATCTCCTAATATATATCATTGTTTTAATAGATAATTATTATAGATAGATAGATAGATAGATAGATAGATAGATAGAAATGACTAAGATAGTTTGGGTGTTAAAGATAAAAAAAAATGCTTGTTTGTTTCTTTGTATTGATTCAGAGACTCATACTCTTCAGAAGTTATTTTTCTTTTTTACAAATAGTTTGTTTTTTTCTAAATAAATGACAAAAAAAATCATGTATTTTTTTTTTTTGTTTCTGTTTATAAAATCCGCATTTGGGAACTTTCAAGAATTAACCTTTTGTGTTTACAAATTCAAGAAGGAATAAAGTAAAGACATACAAGTGCTATTAAAATAAAAGCAAAAATGCTTAATCTGAAAATGTTTCATTTATATCTTTGAGAAAATTCCTGATAATTCTATTAGATATTCGGATTGCTGAATGCAATGTTTTTACTTTTACTTCTGTTCTACTGTATTCTATTACGTTCTTTAGGTGGGTCGGTCGCAACAATAAAACGCAAAACAAAGTGACTTCAATAGTTTGAAAAAAGTTAATGGATTAAATAATAAATACTTTTAAACAAATGATTAAGAAACAAACAGAAAATAGACGATGAAGGATGACAGAGAGTCAAAATTTACTTATAACAAGAAAAATTGTTGAAAGACATTTGCACATCCTGAAAGAACATAGCACATTTTTTTTTTAAGTTCTATTCTTTTTTTTTAACAGACTATGATTTCAGAATGAAACTAAAGATAATAAATTTCATTTTATGTTTTCATTAAATTAATTTTTAAAATCTACAAACTGCAAGCACTGTTTGATTGGCTAAGAATAATTTCAGTACATGGTGGATTTAAAATAGGCAAGGCTACTCGAGATTTATTGCTCGAAAATACAACAATTGTCGCAATAGGCAAGGCTACTCTTGAGTAATCTTTTGAGGAATACATTTAGATTAATGATTGAATGAAGATTTCAGTGTAGTTAAAATTGGAAAGTATATAAAACTGATCAAAACTGTTATCTCAGAATCATTGTGATTGCCGTTTTCTAATTTCCAGTCTTTTTATATACACCGAAATCAAAACATTTCCCAGATATTTAAATTTCCGCACCTGCTTGATTTTAGTGTCCTCCGACCTATAAATCGCATTTCGGGCTCATCTTTTTACTGATGACTATGCATTCTGTCATTTTGATATTTATACTAAGTCCCTTCTTCTCGCCCTCCTTCGCTACCTTCTGTAGGAGTTCTTGTAATTTCTGTTCCGTGTCTGTTATCAGAACTGTGTCACCTGCGTATCTTATGTTGTTAAGATGGTGGCCGCCAATAATGAATCCCGAAAGAATCTGTCCTCCTTTACGGCAACGAATGTTGGACAATCTCTCAAAGATGAAGAAGAGACTCGAGGCAACGGAGGTATGGTTCTACAGAAGGATGCTAAGGATAATATGGACCGAGCATGTGAGCAACGATAGGGTTTTGGAGAGGATGCAAATAAGGAGGAGGCTTATACTTAACATCAAAAAGAGGCAGCTGAAATTTCTGGGACATGGAATGAGAAAAGAGGGTCTGGAGAAACTGATATTCACGTGTCAAATAGAGGGTAAGAGAGACAAGGGAAGGCATGACATACCTGGCGGGCTTAATCAAGTGGATGACAGAACGTGGTTTGGGAGAGAAGGCAGAGGAACAGGACATATTGAGAGCTACAAAGGATAGGGAGAAGTGGAGAGCCATGATCGTCTAGCTCTTGAAGGGACACGTCACATAAAAAGAAAATACATCACATTTTATTCCTTTTGACTCTTGCGTCAGATTTTCTTCTAATCATTTAAAAAGAAAAATCTTTTTATTTCAAGTAACAACAGAGTTAATTGTATCGATAAAAATCGATATTAGATTAGAAAATATAATCATTGAAACTACAAAATTATTTAAATATACTGTCGACTTTGGAAGGAGTTGGTAAACTTCTATTATATTAAATGTACACTTTGTGCAAATTAATTGAAACAAAGCGAATAATTCTGTTATTATTTACTTTGTTTTCGTATTTTTTCAATGAAACATGACCCAGGGCACATGCCAATACTTCATATGTCCATTCCACGGAGTCGTTCCTTGCATATTGGCCACAGATTCTCGATTGGATTTAAATCAGGAGAGTTTCCGGGCCAGTCTATAGTACTTTGATTTGCTCACTGATAAGGCCCGCCTATGTGTTCGTGCAGCGTTAAAATTTTCGTAAACTTCATTGGAGTAATGTCCATCGTAGAAATGGCCGTAGGACAACTAATCAACAGTCGATACAATAGTGTCTGAGCGGGATAAAATTCTGAATCGGGAATCACTGATGACGCAATAGTTATCAAGTGCAAACAAATTTCATGATACACCCGGAAAATGGATTTATATTACTGCACACCATTGCAAATGACCTAATCGGAAGAAAAAATAGAAATCGATTACACCCTGCCACACTTTGACCAAATGGTGAAAGAAAGGAAACTAAAGCGGTTGTTTCAATTAATTTGCACAGGGGTGTGAGTCAGTAGATTGGTTAAAAATGCCATGTCTCAGTACCCAGTCTACCCAACTATTTAACCCATAGCTATAGGGGTAAAAGATGGGTTTATACCTTTTCTCAGGCCATTTTTGCAAATGTGAACGTAACATACTAGACCGGGATTTGAATTAGACTCGACACAAAATAGTGATAATTTCTTTTAATAGAAATTCTAACTTTTTTGGATTCCCATTATAGATTAACAAAATCAGAATTTGTGAAATATTAAAGTACAGAGAATAAGATTTTTTTATTAATTAAATAATCACATTTGTCTTGGCCGTTTCATCGAAATAGAAAATAAAAAAAAGCTGCCCCTTTATTTTCTGTAGTCAAAAAGCAGAAAGATTAATTGTATTAATTCTGAATTTTGGAGAAAAAGAATTATTATTATTATTATTATTATATTGATATAGTCGAAATATTGTCTTCATCTTTGTTGTTATTAATGACAACGATTTGACCATTACCAACTGTGACAGACATCGCGACAAAGCTAGTAAAAATGTTTTGACTACAGTAATACTTCGACGTAAGTCGTCTCGAGTTAAATCATTTTCGAAGATACGTCGGAAAAATAAAACTCACTTTAGGTACCATTTACTCGAGTTTACATCGCCCGTTAAAAATATTAGAAACGTCAAAACACTAAAATAACAATAAACACATAAAATTATATTCAAATAAATTTAAAAATAATATTATGTACACACACACACACACACACACACACACACACACACACACACACATATATATATATATATATATATATATATATATATATATATATATATATATATTGCCAGTTGTGTGCCGTGCGTGATACACGCTTAGGCAATCATGTATCTTTCAATACATGAACTGACGAGGCAGATTGTTTTTTTTCCCGCAGTAGGTTACCATTTCTTACTGCGGTAGACCAGTTGCCATCCAAGGCTATAGATCCCGGTCTATCCTGCTATTTACCCATACAAAAAGAAGATTCATACCTTTCACGCTTACGGAATGTGAATAACTCCCTGATTTTTGGTATTTTTTTATTCTGAGGGTTGGAGTTGTTGCGAGGCAAGCTAAACAAGCTTGTATATCCATTCTGGTAAAACGTCATTACTTTCTGAACAGTCTAATTTCCTATTTTCCTGAAAAGATTTCAAAGAACGATGGAACTGGCTGCTCTGTTACTGAACGCCAAATGTTTCCTTACAAAGCAACAGCTAATATTACCATTACCATTAATATATTTTTACGACCATCAATAAATTGACTTTATGTGCATATTGGCTGAAGGGTTGGTGAATATGAAGATTTTGCAATTGTACGCACACAGAAAGACCATTCTTTTATGAAAAAGAGTGGAAAATCAATGAAAAAGTCCGGAAAATTAATAAATTTTCAGTTGAGTTGTTTGCTTGACTAGTGACTAATCGTCATTGAAAATAAACCGTACAAAATAGTGTTGCAATTTACTAAGCTCAGTTTTGCCACAAAGACACAACTATCAGGTTCCCAGTGAGAATCGGTCTCACTACTAATGGTCAGTTTAACTCACTTCGCTAACCATTACACCACTCCGTGGTGTCTGTTTTTCTTTTTGTTTTGTTTTTTAAATCATTTCACCCCAAGCAAAAGAATAAAGCCACTAAGAAACAAGGAGTAGGAGTTACTGTTTGTGTGTGAATATGAGAAAAAGAAAACATTATTAAGGTGAGAGGACAATTATCGAACAGGAATTAGGAAGAAGATAACGATTGACATTACATTCATATTTTTGAAGATCAAAGTTGATTAGAAAGCAAGAAACCAGATAAGAGTTCCACAAGCGAGAAGTGCAAGAGAAGAAACTGTTAGCATAGAACTTACGGTTACATCAAGTCATTTCAGCTGTAAGATGATATGACATTTCCGCCAATGAAGTCTAGATCTAGTCGAGGAAAAGTCGTCAGAACAATTACCATGAAAATATTTACAGAAAAGGCACAGGGAAGCCACGTTACGGCGACGAGAAACTGATTGAAACTTCTTCTTAATGTCTAATAATAATAGCTTAGTTTTGACATAAGTTTGGGGCACCCAGTGTGGATCAAATAATTCAGTAGTAATAGTCAATTTGACTAGCTCACTGACCATTATAAGACTTTGTGACCTCCTAGGATGTAAGTGAATAGCTAACTGAAGGTTAATTCGTTTTACGTCAGTAAATGTCGTTTAACATCTTTTTCTTCTTTTTTTTTTTGTATTTTTGGAAATAACGTAAAAAAAATGGCTACAAGTAAGCGCGCACGCGCTCATGCTATGTATACATGCCACATGTGACACCAGTAATGTCGTATTTTCACCCACAGAGATAATGTCTAACTAATGTCCGGAACTACTTCGGGGTTGAGATAGCTGCATGTTAGCTATTCTCGCCAATGATCAAGTCCAGGTAAAAAAACAAAAAACAAAACAAAAAAAAAAACTGTAAGATTGACTTTACGCAACACAGGTCATCTTCACTTGGATATAATGTAGT